CCCCAAAACCCCAAAACCCCTAGTAACCTTAATTAGCTACAATGATCTATTTAAGAAATTAAATTCTTGCAAAAAATCATAGAAATATTAATCATAGTTAAAGATTCTCTTCTATCATAATTCTCTCTGATATTTCCTCAATTTGAGTGGGATTCATCAGGCTTGGGTCATTATCCACATCTTAAGCGGCTTCAATATGTAGATTTATTTCATCTTAAATGTCTTGGCTGTCGAAACTATTAGTCAGATCTGCAGCACCAGACATTATAATATGTTAATTGTTAGTTTGCTCAGTATCCTCAATGACTGAATTTATAAGATTAGCCTAAGTGGCATTTATGTTGGCAATATCTCGAGGCACATCGATACTATAGTTAAATTTAGATACTCTTCTCTTGCCTATTTCCTAAGACTTCAATCTTACTATTTGCGGTTATTTATTGTTAATCAATGGTTTGTAAGTATTTTTAAGATTATGCATCTGCTAAGGTTCTTATAAGCCCTTTTTAGTTTTGTTATTTTTAGCAGTATGTTGCATTCTTAATTGAGGCTTATGCTTTTAATGAACAATTCTAAGATCAATAGAATTGTATATTCTAGGTTAAGTTGAATTTTCGGAGGTTATACAAACATTGCTAGACTTATTATTCAAAAGATGATGCAAAGCCATTTCCCTGGACTACTAATCAACTTTGCTAGTGATTCTTTCAGTTTATTATATTGTATCTTCTTTCAAGTCTTCATAAACAACCTCGCACCTCTCCGGTTCAACCAAGACGTTGTTTACTGTATTTATTTCGATTGCACTTTCATTCTAGTATTTTTAAGATTTGAAGATTCCAAAAGAATTTAACAAAATATTTGCCTCTGTCATCATTATTGGATCCTATATTGACTCTATAGATCGTTTAGGGTTGAGCTAGAAACTTTCAGTTTAATGGATTGATCCTCTTCCAGAGTTAAAGTTATCAAAAGATTCTTGTATAGTAGTTTGATTGACAAATTGATTAATCTAGGGTGGATTATGATTTTAAGTACTTCTCTATCCAGTTGTCTGAATTTAAAAGAGATTTATTCCTTCTCTATAGCTAGCGTCATTATAGAGGTCATTTACAGATGATCTATTATTGTCGGTCTCACTTTCCCCTTTAATTATATGTTGTTCCTCATTAAGTATAGTTTAAAATTACGAGTAGGCATTTTAAATTCTATCTTTAAAATCATTTCTCATTTCATATTCATTCTTACTAGCCATTTGAAAATTGCTATCAATCCATTAAAAGTTGAAAAATCGCTTTATCTTTTAATGCTTAAGTGATGCATTGAACTCTCTAGTCTAATTCGGATTAACCTATTCCTTTTTAAAATGATCAATCATAAACATGTCTATATCCTCAGATATCTAGTTTTACTTATTAAGCCCTTTGCTATTTGCCGAGCAAATATGATGCTTAAGATATTCCATGCATGCATTTATATCATCTAGATTATCACTGACTAATTTCTGATTGATATTTTCAAATGATGAAACCTCCGTAACTGTAAAACCCATGGTCTTAATTTTATGAGAGTTCATCTCATCTAAAATTTTCTTGGCATTCTTCGGGACAAACATTATGAAATCCTCAAGAAAAACAGAGAGCCTTAGAAATATCACATTAATTTATCTCAACTCTTTGGAGTCTACCTATAAGATTTTACATAGATAGCAAGGAACATTTGCCCTATATCTTATTATATTGCAATTTGAATCTTTTATATAGCTAAGGTACATTTTAAACAACTTAATGATCCTCATAGTGTAGTGTCTAAGTTGCATGATCATTTGTATTCCTTAAGATTTTTCGAATTCAATAATGCTACTCACAGTGTTGAGTAGTCCTAGCTTGTATATTATTGATTCCCTTTCATCTATTAAGTTTCTGAGTTTATTCTCAGTATTGGTAAACCTCTATAAAAACTGAATGTATTGATTCATTTTTTAAAGCAGATATGGACTGTAGTTTCCTTATTCGTAAACTTCTTTTTTAAGGAAACCTTTAACGTATTTTACTTCATCTAAAGTGATGCGCTCATTAGTATTGAAAATCTTCTCTATTTGGTTCATCAGTCTAGTAAAGTCATTTATAAATCTGATCCTCTCAACTTCGTCTAAGTTATTGATACTTTGATAATAGGTATCGATGACTTCTATCTTGAGAGTTTCAGATTTTTTAGAGAGAGATTTTTAACTAAATATGGTAGTTCCTTAATGACTGAGCATAGGATTGCCGTTTGAAGATGGCTAGACAGTCTATTTTTTCATATTGCTATGAGTAAATAAGGCTCTTGAGTTCGATATGGAGTTATTGTTATTAGTTCTATTATTAACAGCACTTGAATATGGTCTCTTTTTACTCTCACTGTCTATCTATTCCAAGGAATTAAAACTGATTACTTGAAATCCGTTGCTAAGGATATCTCCATTGTTCTGTATTGTATCTTGATTTATTTATCCAAGTCCTTTAGAGTTGTTAATTAGATTCTATACCTTTAGGTAATTTTGGGAATTCATGCTAGTCCCACCCTGTGAGAACTACCTCTATTTTTTTGAGTTTGAGAGTGATCTTCTTATCCCTCCCATAGTTTTTTCAGTCGGAGCAGTCATTAATCTTGAGTACTTTTTAACCGATCCACCGTAGGCCTCATAATTCTTAAAAACGCTAGAGGATTCAACATTCTATCTTCTAGCAAATGCTTTTTATTATAGGCTCTGACTCGTTGTGCTTACAAGCTTAGAGTCATTAATCATGGAGTTAAGAGGCCTGTAAATTGAAATATCGTTATTATCAATCTTCAAATTAAGTGTCTGAGACACAAATCTATTGTCTGCAGGAATGTTTCTCATTTTTTTGTAATCTAGCGCATCTATTGTATGGTCTTTAGACTACTCATGACTCTGGCGGTACTTCATTTTTCTTTGATTCAGAAATTTATGTTTGATATTTACAGTTTTAGCCACGACAGACTGATAATGAGAGTTAAAATCTGAGACTGACTCTTCAAATTTATTGTCCAATAAAACCTTCCCTAAAATAAGAATAAGGTAAATTATCTAGTACATTAAGACTTGAAATCTAAGAGTCTTTTCTCTGAATTCAAGAGAGATCTAGGCTAGTATTAATTTTAAGGGGTCTAATTGCTATCAAGTGAGTTCTGTCTAAAATGAAAATTCTTCATTTTCTCTATTTATGTATTATTATTATGAATGTCGTAATTAACAATAAAATATGATAATGATAATGATAGGTTTTCAATATTTGATATATTTTATTTCTTATTCTCTTAATTTTTTAAGATCATCTAAATGGGGTTTTGGGGTTTTGGGGTTTTGGGG